ATATATATATATATATATATATATATATATATATATATACACACATGCATACATACATACATATTTTTCGGTCAAACACAAGTATAAATTATTTGTATCACTTTACCACTTTCCTCCCTTTTTTTTTTTTTTCTGTTGAACTTTACGTTGTTGTTGTCGTGGACCAGAACTTTCTACTGCTGGACTATGTCGTGGATTAGGGGAAGGTTTTGCATTTGTAGGCATTTTAGTAATATCGCTGTAATTATAAATAATGATAAAAATTATTTACTTTTTCTTTAATTAAAAAATATATATTTGTTTAATACATACTACATATCACTAGCTCCAGTTGCAGCACCTTGGGTGCCTTTCATTGCAGCATCTCGATTTCTTCTATCTCGTTTCTTTCTAAATCCACTACGTTCGTGTCTAGGTAACCATCGCTCGGGATCAGGTGGAACATTTGGATCATAATTCTTAGGCAACTTTCCTTTACGTTTGCGTTTCTTCCGTTTCTTTTGAGTTACATCAACTGGTTTACTATAGAATATAATTATAATTAAGAATTAATTAATATTTAACGTTAAAATTATATTAAATATAAAATACTTACCCAGGAGATGGTTCTATTTTTTTCTTTATCATTTTGGTACCAATTACCCAATTGCTACTCTCTAAAGCATCAATATCCGTTGTTTCATATAAATCGTGTAGTGGCGGTAAACGTTTTGATAATAATTGTGCTTTTTCAGGACAAAATTGAACATAAGCCACTACTAATTGCGCTAATGTTTTAGTATCACAAGGCGAAGCATCTACCATTTCTTGTAAAATATCAGCTGCCATTTTAATTTCTCCTCCGCGTAGATAAAAATCAGCGGCTTGTCGCCATAATTCTCCTAAATTAGCAGTAGTTTCCTAAAAATAAATACTAGATAAAAAATAATATTGAATTAACTAAAAAAAAAAAAAAAATTAAATCAAATGTGCCTACTTTATTTTTCTTGTAATAATTAACCGCATTTTTAAGAACAGCTGACGCTCTTTCACGATTATTTTCAGCCATATAAAGAGTTACAAGTGTACTAACTATGCCAGGTAAAGATTTATCTCTTTCATTTAAATTTTCAAGAACATTGATTGCTTCTTGTCTTTCATCTTGACTTAATAAAAGTTGCACACAAACTAATTTCATTTGTAATTCTTTATCTCCAATTGCATACTGTGTTAGTAAATCTGTTGCTTCCTTTGCTTTACCTTCTTTACCAAGTTGTACTGCTTTAACAAACATTGCATCCACAGCAAGTGCAGGATAATCTTTAGCAAGTTTATTACAAAGTTGTTGACATTGTTCTGCCTACAAATATATAAAATATTAAATAATAATGCATGAACAATAGAACAATAAATTATTGATTAAATTTCTACCTGATCAGTATATAAAGCTAGCAAACACTGATTATAAGCAATATTTGTTTTCTGTCTAGAAGTTAATTTATATTCTAAGCTATCATGAGTAGCACTTTTCATTCTTTTTTTACTATCAAATACATTCTGATCTTTATTTAGACACACAAGATTATTGCTTGCAACTGCTACTAAAGCTATATCATCTGGTTTTGCTTTCAAAGCAGAAATATATAATCCTCGAGCTTCTTTCTCACGACCCTGAAGTTGAAGACAACATCCAAGTTGAACTCTAATAATTCCCAATTCATCTTCTATTTCTTCTTCTGCAACTCCATCTTCTTCTAAACCTTCTTTACACATTTTTTCAGCTGTTCTAAGTTTCTTCTCTGCTTCAATTAAAACAGTTTTATCACCTTTGCTACCTTGTGCAATTAAACAACAAGCTGCATTATATATTAATTCATATGTATCTTCACGTAGTACAGGAACTTCTACATTCTGTCAAAAAAATAATAAAGAAATAAATAAAATATGTCTAAATTATATTATTAAATAAAATTAAAATATTTAAATAAATTATTATTTTATTATAATATAATATATTATAATTATTTTATAATACTTATATTTTACATTTAATAATATAAATATATTAATAGATTTAAAAATGTATTAAAAACTTACGGAACCCTCAATTGTTAAATTTACAACCACTGCTGCAAGATTAGCTTGTCTTTCATCTTCATATTCATCATGAGAATTTTTTATAATATCTCTATATACAGAGAAACATTCTTCATATTTTTCAAGTCTATATAATATTTGGGCTTTAAGTTCTTTGAGTTTTAATGAAGGATTTGGCAAAACTTCTACTACTTTTAAAGCTTCATTTACTTGATTTAATCGATATAAACAATATGCTTTTTCAAAATCTAAATTGCTATAAAAAAAATATTTGTTCATTTTTGAAATTCTATAAAATACTAATTAAAATAAAAGCTTTAATTTTAATATAATAAATAAAGAACATACCTTGCTAGTCTTGGATTCTTAGATATAAATTGGAGTGCATCATTAAATTTAGATAGTTGAATGTGACAAATAACTTTACAACGGAAAGCAGCTTTTTCATCCGGGAAAGTATATAAAACTAAAAAATATTCTATTTTTGAATATGTTATTTCTCAAAAATAGGGCACAGGTTATGTTGATAGTAAATTTCTGAGATTATGTACAATTCGTAAATTCACAAAAACTCACTTTTATTGGCAATTTTTATGGCCCTTTCATATTCTCCATTTTGACCTAATTTATTTAATTCTCCATATAATACAGGAAGATTGTTTTCTTTTGTAGCCATATTGTTCACTTTGCGATCATGTCCAACGTGGAACTAATTTGACTATCGAATGCAGTATAATAACTCTTACAATGATTCTTACAATAAGAGTTATTACTTATAAAATATATCCTTATAAAGTATATATATTTTTCTTGAAAAATTAAATATTATTTAAAATATTTAATAAAAATGTTAATTAAAATAATATAAAAAAAAATACATTGATTTAAATAATTTATTATAATATAATTTAATTTAATATTAAATTTATTTATTTCATAATATTATCTTATTTATTTAACTAACTATTTAAAAAATATTAAAAAATTGAAATATTATTTATTATTATTAAATTATTACATTATTACATTATTATTAAATTTGTATATAATTTAATATTTAATTATATTATAACATTTGCATTATACACACATTGGAATTATAATAAAAAAATATTATTTATAAATAATATAAAAAAATATAATATATAAAATATATATGTATATATTATATATGTATTATATATATATATATATATAATCCAAAAAAAATATCTAAAGTTTTTATTTTAAGTAAATGAAAATTTATTTCTTTTCAACTTATTAAAATAATATTAATAA